GAAAAAGGGAGCGAGGGAGAGGGGTTACATTCCATTCTGCTCTGTCCCTCTCGCTGCATGGTCGTTTTACATTCAGCTGATTTCAGATCAGGGTCAGCAGTTTTGCTCCCAGGCAGATGACAGGTCGATCACTGACGTGAGATCAGGGAGGGACCACTTGAAACCTAAAAAACGCCTAGGGGCCTGAGTCTACAACTGCAAAAAAGTGGGCAGCGAGAAGGCCCTCATGCAGATAAAACAATAGAAACTCAGGTGTAGTTTCTCTATTGGCGGAGACAGGAATATCCACACCCACAATGAAGTCTTTCCTGCTCATCCCTACATCAGCCCCAGTCACATAAACACACACTCGACAAAGGAGAGACAACTGGCTTCTTTTAACATGGAAATCAAAATTAGCCACTCCCAGTAGTCCGGTGCTTTGTGCCCCATTTCCCTAAAACAGCCATGGCCACTTATGGAGAAACCAAACCAGCCAGCCCCAAACTGACTGAGTCAGCCAGTCAAATGTCAGACTATCAACAACAATCACACTCATGCAAACAGCCAGGTACTTTGATAGTGCAGTGAATATAGGGAAATGAGGAGCGATACAAATTCACACTGATCTTAAACATATGTTCAATTAAATAATGTGAGAGGAGACCATATCAAAACAGTGTACAAAAAAGTGTTGCCATCACATCAGACTGACAGTGGTTGAGTTTTGGGTGGCTTTTACCCTTTTGCACATATTTGGTGGCTGAATGCCCTTTGCTTTGAAGTGGGTTGGCTAACTGGCATCCCGAGATATTTGCATGGACACCGATTCCAACATTGCCCAGCTAGTATTGCAAAAAAACAAAGAATGGCCTAGCTCAGAATTTTGTGTACTACATTTTAGTCATTTAGCAGACACTCTTATCCGGAGCGACTTACAGTTGGTGAATGCATACATTATTTTTCTATTTTTCATACCCCCGTGGGAATCGAACCCACAACCCTGGCGTTGCAAACGCCATGCTCTACCAACTGAGCTACATCCCTGCCGGCCATTCCCTCCCCTACCCTGGACGACGCTGGGTCAATTGTGCGCCGCCCCATGGGTCTCCCGGTCACGGCCGGCTACGACAGAGCCTGGATTCGAACCAGGATCTCTAGTGGCACAGCTTAATTACATGTTTCTCAAGCTGAAATTGAGCTCTCTGACGTGTTACATTGTAACCAGTGTAGTATACTGGACTAGACTGAGCAGGACGAAACTTGGGTGTTGTAAAAAACACTTTAGGTAAGCTATTAATTGACAATTTACTGTTTATTTTGACATTAGCACTTTTTTTTATTTTACCTTTATTTAACCAGGTAAGCCAGTTGAGAACAAGTTCTCATTTACAACTGCGACCTGGCCAAGATAAAGCAAAGCAGTGCGATAAAAACAACAGAGTTACATATGGGGTAAAACAAAACATAAACTTTGTCCATATTCTGTTTAATGCCTCCACTTGATGTCTGATTTCCACATAGGCTACATTAAGTACAGAATCATTGGTGGGAGGCATTCATTAACTTTATGCAACAACTGGCACAGCAGCGGTGAAAACGCCACAGGAATGTGCACTTAGTTCCACCGCCGACTTTTCTGAAATAAATGTTGGGTCTATGAATGTCACGCCTCGTCCAATCAAACTCCATGTTGAATTTCATTAGCCGCTGTTTTTTATTCCATACATTTAAAGATACACATTTTAAATGTGTTACAAAAATCTATACATCCTTCAATAACCGGTGTTGATTTCAGGAAAGAAGTCCCTATTGCCTGCGTTTGTAGGCCATCCGAGTCATATTTGTTAACCATTGATAAGTTCTTCCTGTGAGGAAACTTTGGCCTCCGTTGCTTTATAGGCAGACATATTTAGAGTATCGACATACAGAGAGGGTAAAGCTGAACGCATGGTTAGGCTATATCAATTAGTTTAATGAATAATGCTGTGTCTCAAAACGCTGAGTAATAATGGGCTGTAATATAATGCTCGGTGTGGTGTCACGCCACTAAAAATAATGCAAATCATTTTGACAGTAAGATGTGTAGCACAACTACACACCCTCAATCATCCCATACTGTTAAGCAACGTTGCTTGAAATTATCCTCAATTGTTCTCACTCCACATTTCACAATTCCAGGGCTTGATCATAGCATTAAAGGATTAAGTCTAGTCTAAAAACAGTAAAAATACTGGAAAAAGTGGCCTGCTGTTACGACAATGTGCGACGGAGAAAGTAGATTCCAAAAAACAAGAGAACTCAGCAATGTTTTATCTGCTTCGATCCAGAACATCTGATAGTACTTTGAGGACACCCTTTCTTATGCTATTTTTGAGTCACATCGAAATTATGCATATAGCCATCTTGAATCTGGTTGTTCTCAAGAAAAATGCCAGAAATATCGCCTGGGAAATTAACAAGGCTGAATAAGCGCCAGAACTAGATAGGCTACAATGTTTCATTCCAATAAATAAAAAATCACCGCTGTCCTCAGTCGAGTGAGAAAATACCGGTTGCTGTCGAAATGACGCATATGGAAGGAGTTTTATAGCCCATTTCTTGTTAAACATATACCATATCGACATAGCCCATTTCTTGTTAAGAATATACCATATCGACACAGGAAAGTTCGTTACATTTTGACGGTATAACATTTCGTTGCTTTATAGATGCAACCAGGGCCCAAATTCAGTCCTCGACCTCTCCCTGCCATTTTACCTTTCTCTGCTGTTTCTCCCAGGCCGGGTCCAGCAGCAGGTCCCGGTCCCAGTCATTTTCTTGTTCTCTTGGGTCCATGTAAACGGATGGTCCTCCAGACGATGCTTGATTATTAGACGCGTGATAATCTACCATAGTGAGATAGACCGGCAGTCTATTAGCTATCTAAGGGTATAGAACGAGAAATAAAAGAGGATGTGACCCAGTTGCGGCAACTCTATTTGCTTTCAACGTTCGGTTAGGAATATCCGGTCTATACACTGACAATACCCGCTAAAAGAATGCTTAATCTCCACCCGAGGAGGGAGTGGTGTGGTCGCAAGCAAAGCGCCGCTCCTACAAAACTAAAGTAGGTTGTCAGGCCCATATAGTTCATGAATATTCAGTGGCCTGCTTATTATTCATGAGCTGATGAAAAACTGCCCCCGAAAGGCTGGAGAACACATACCTTAGTAGTAGACTATAGCCTACTAAAAGTATTGTTCAAACAAATATTATGCCTGATATGTAGCCTAATGTCTTTGTCAAGTTGCGTAAATCATTGCAGATGGAAGTATGTGCATGTTGCTAAATATATCATTGCAACATTGTATCAAAATGTAGATTACATTTATGCCGGCCCCTTGAAACGATACAATGTTGAAAGAAAATAATGCACAAATGTATTTGTAGCCAGTATAGACAGATTTACGAACTGAAACATTATTTGGAGTTCTATACTACAGTAGTTTTGATAACTACTACTTGTATAATATCCATAGAATATTAAAGTAACTGTACAGCGAAAATTTCACTTTTAGAAGTTCATATTCTGTTAACTCATATCCAAATAATGTTGTTGACTCATCTTATACTCGTATGTGGTCAAAGCATAAATTGGAAGCAATAAAACACTTCAAAAACCTCACCTCAAAGTTGTATCTCAAACAGACGTTTAAAAAAATGCTTGCTATTTCCTCATAGAGGATAGGCTGGCCAATCAGCTGACTACTCACAGTAACGTTTTTTAACAACCAGTATACACCCACACCATTCTGTTGTTGGGGTACGCCCACACCATTCCAACACAGAAAAGCTGCTTTTTAACATACTTATTAAAAATAAATTGGAAGGAAAACTATTTATCTCATATTGTAATTCATTTTAGTTCATATTTAATATAAATATGGACAGTTACTTGAAGCGCAAGCTACACAGGGGCAGAGCCATATATGCCTCTAAATATATGTCTCTACACCAGGGTTCTTCAATTCCGGTCCTGGAGGGCCGAAACACTTCTGTTTTTTATTTCTACCTGGTAGTTAATTGCACTCACCTGGTGTCCCAGGTCTGAATTAGCCCCTGATTAGAAGGAGAGGAAAAACAGAGGTGTTTCGGCCCTCCAGGACCGGAATTGAAGAACCCTGGCCTACACAGTGGCGCTTTCAGCATGGCAACATTTTGGAACGTTCGGATAGAAATATGCTATGTAGAACAAACATGCCTCTCTTACATGTAGAATAAGGAATTGCGTCAGCTTTATTCATGAAATATCTATCTGCAACATTCTACAATGTTTCTTCTTCTTGCAAGACAATAATCAGATGGAGCCTATAACACGACCCACCCGTTTTATGTAATATTAATGAGGACATGCTACACCATGAATCATTTAGTCATTGAGCCCATTGGTATTGTTACCCTACTCAGATTTTTGTTGTCCCCTCATTAAGATCCTATGCTACCTCACTTGTGCCCAAACTAATAGTCCTTCATGCAGGTGCATCGAAACCAAAACCGTATGAAATTCACTTAGGCCTATGCTTTTGTTTGAAAGCTTGTCGTGTGTAAAGCAGCTTATATTTACAATTCAAATTTCATAGGCTGGGTCTGACTGACATGCCCAGACACTACATTATGTAGGTCACACTCTAACTGTGTGTCCATGCCAATTATCATCAGCGAGGCCCGACATACCATGTAAATGTTCGCAGGCCGCCCTCGCTCCCTTTAATGTTTTGTTATGTTTTCATGACTGCCACATAGTGCCACATTCCTAATATACAGAAATCCCATGGGGATTGGACTCCATCCCCATTACTATAAGGCATCGTTGTGGTGTGTACAACTTCATGGTTAAATGACTACACATCAAAGCGTCATATCCATTTTATAATAATTTTTTTCTCATTGTAATGACAGTTAGGCCTATATTTGGCACCTATTTTTTCAAAAATCCCCAAAGTCAGCCTGTTGCAGGTGATGCTAATACATGGGGAAAAGGACAATTCATTCAAGGTGTGCTTGTGTGCATCTGCAGCTGTTCTCCTTTGATATCAATGTTTATTGATCCTAATTTCAGTTATTCAAGATTGTTTAATAAGTCTGGGTGTGTGTGTGTGTTGAGAAGAGTACAAAATGAGGAGCTGTACTTCTTCAAGCTCGAATTTTAGCTTCTGAGTTATTTAACACAAGCACAACAGGAAATTGCTTGAAAGTTTGCCACAGTCCCCCTGGGTCTGGTATGTGCTTTTTTGACTATTCTTATATCAAGACCGTCCATAGAGTGTGATGCTTCAAAGCGGATATTTACACATACCAAAAGTCAAGGTCTCTCTGCAGAACATACATTTCTCAAAACGTTCCGTGTCCAAGTCCACTTCTCTACACTTATTCAGTCTGCTGAAAAGGAGGCAACAGAAAGTTAAACAGAATGACAGCATGCACTTAGTTGCTATGATGACATAGTATTGTTATGGAATGACTAAAATCTGATGTTCGGCACAAATAACTGAAAGTCTTTATTGCAAAATAAATCTACTATAAAACTTTTAATTTAAAACAATGCTGCAACAAAAACCAGTTGAATCGGCGGAGGAGGGGCTGAAATTCAATGAGAGCGGGTCAGTTGTACATCGTCATGTGGAGCCACTACAAACAGAAAAAAGGTGAGACACAACAAATCAATATTTCATTAAATGGCTGTCCAGGCCATTATGGCATGTGTGATCATATGCAAAAGCTGTTTTTTCATTCATTTTAAGTCTGCCGTATTCTGCATGTTTACTAGGCTGTGAGAAAAAGAGTGGGTTTTGATAATCTGTGTCCTGTGTGCTCTTACCTGTCTGTAGCTGACTGATATGGTCCCCATTCCCACAATGTCATAGGCTTGAAATTTATCTGTGAATGGAGCGAACATGATGAATTAGACCAATTAGCCTACATACAAATGCACATCCCCCACCCCCACACATTTTGCTTTTGCATGATAATTATTAAAAAATAAAGAAATAAAAAAAGTGCACCCCAAAAGTAACATCTCAATCTCGCTTGTATTTCTCTTCACTCATTTTAAATCCCACATCAATTAGTCTTCCTAAATTCCTATTTGCAGCCCTTGTTGGACCACACCGTTCTCTACACCTCTGCCCTCACTTACGGATCATGCTGTCCAGTTTCATCAGCAGGTAAAGGAAACCGGGGTAACTGATTGTCATGTCCGGCTCTGTGTAGCGCAGGCCGATCAGCTGCAGGACGAAGTCATCCACCCGCATGCCTAGACCAGACCAGACCAGACGAGCACAGATCAATTGATGTTCAACCACATTCCCTGCTGTTTCAGCACTGTAAATGCTGTTGGCATACTGTTCATATGGACCAATAAGGACCGAACATGAAGAGTGGTGTTTTGGCGCCCCCTAAAAGGCACCAATGGAAGCTTGTCATATCATAAGTGTGTTCTACCTGCAGCTTTCAAGGCAGGTGAGACTTCAGGGTACTCCAGCAACTGGGATTTGTTCTTGTCAAACGTCATGAATATATCCTGTTAAGTGGAAGATCAAGACCAGCATGACTGAATAATATTTTCAGACAAATATAATTCAAATCACTTCACATGCTTCGGAACGGGTCGTATGATTGAATTAGCTCAGTGACACATGACTGAATCAGAAGACACAAGTCACTATTATATTTCCTTTAGCCAATCACAATGCGACTTCAAAGACACAAAGCATGCTTTAGCCAATCAAACTACTGTCCAATCTTCTCATCATATTGAAAGAACAAAATGATTAAACCTTCCACTGATATACGGCTTAGTATGGTTTAGACCTTACCGTCCATTTCCTGATCTTGTCCCACAGTGCCTGGAACCCCTGCCAGTCTAGCTGAGCTAACCCCCGACTCTGGGTTGACACCGCAGTCAAGGAAATGGTCCATCAAAAATGCATGGCAAAATTAAGGTATTGGTAGATCAGCAGACCAAGTGAGGTCATGGTGGACAAGTTACCCTACCTTTGTATGTCTATGTACATACATGGCATTTTTGTAACGTTACACATTACATAGCCCTTTTTTATGGGAACTATGATCTTCAAACAGTCGGCCTAGCCGAGGCTCGAACACCCATCGCCAGGGGGCACATGTGAGCTTAGACCGCTACACCAGAATCTGGCATACATTTAACCTATATTAACATGGTTATTGATCTATATCAACTAATGACCATATAGCCATGCTGAGACATGATGCACACTGGTTCAGCCATACATGTATTTCTTTCCCCAAGAGAAAGGATACATCCATGAGGACCACAAAGCTCTTGCAGTGCTCCAGGACCAGCTTCTTCTCGCTCCCCGCCAGCACTGCAGGCCACAGCCCAGGAAGAGAGCAGGAAGCCACACAGACAAAACATCAGTTAGGAACAGTTAAGACTTCCTCCTGCAGTGACATCACTACTTCCTAAATGTTCCCACAGTAGTTATGGCTTATGGAAGACTACTAAATCAGTAGAGGGATTCGTACAGTTTTCCAGAATTTCCCAGATGCATGTGGGCGAGGCAATGGCTACTGGATGACAGATGCCATTATAACAAGCTGTTGTAAAGGGTAAGTGTGTACAAGGTAATCAAAGGTGTGTTTGGACACAAACCCTTACCTCCGCATTTTATGGCCTCTGTTAGCAGGTTGAGAAGCTCCAAAGGTCGACACTCCCCTTTCTGTTGGGAGGTTTAAAAAAAAGAGAGTAAATATTGCATATCTTAGGCTAGAATAGAACAGTTTACATGGAACCTACTACATGGAGGTGGTGGCGTTATCTCACCTTGTTGCAGTGCTTCTTAAAGAGCTGTCGTGTGGCTTCAGGAGAGGGCAGAGCCGACATGTGTGGAAAGGAGGGCTGCAAGAGGGAGATCCACAGTGAAACACACAGGATCATCCATTTAGTCATATCACAAATACTCAACAGGGGGTGATGGATTGTGGATACTTTGGACTTCAATAGCATGCCATGACTTCTACCTGTGTAGGGCTTTCATCAGTGCCGGGCTTCTCAGCTGGCCTGCAAACACAAAGAAAATACAGAATCATATGGTTTAACTTGAGAAACAGACCTATTCATTGGTGGATAACATAACATATACACTGAGTGTACAAAACATTAGGAACACCTTCCTAATATTGAGCTGCACCCCCCCTTTTTCCTTCAGAACAGCCTCAATTCGTTGGGGCATGGGCTCTACAAGGTGTCGAAAGCATTCCACAGAGATGCTGATCCATGTTGACTCCAATGTTTCCCACAGTTGTCACGTTGGCTGGATGTCCTTTGGGTGGTGGACCATTCTTGATACACACGGGAAACTGTTGAGTGTGAAAAACCCAGCAGTGAAGCAGTTCTTGACACACTCAAACCGGTGCACCTAGCACCTATTACCATACCCCGTTCAAAGGCACTTAAATATTTTGTCTTGCCCATTCACCCTCAGAATGACACACTCACAATCCATGTCTCGATTGTCCCAAGGCTTAAAAATCCTTCTTTAACCTGTCTCCTCCACTTCATCTACACTGATTGAAGTGGATTTAACAAGTGACATCAATAAGGGAACATAGCTTTCACCTGGATTCACCTGGTCAGTCTATGTCATGGAAAGAGTGTGTGTTCCTCATGTTTTGTAAACTCAGTGTAATTTAGAGAGCCTTTTCTTGACTGAATGCCCTGATACCTTAACATATATCATAGGTAACTCTTCCTCCAACCTCCAGTCATGGACTGATCCACTCACGATGCATCGTTGCCCTTTTCTGTCAACACCCGCAGGATGAACTCTCCCTGCTGATTGGTCTCCGCGGTGGAAGGGATGATGACATAATGGCCGGGCGCCAGGCGACCACGAATCACCAGCTCTGTTCGCTGGACGTAACCCTGGGTGCTGATGAGTGGGCGGAGCAAGCTCAGGTCCAGAGAGGACAGGTAAGCACACTCTGAGCATGCCTGGGAAGAAAGGGGTAGATACTGTAGTGTGTACACACATTTCCACACTGAGAAATATGCTGCCACACTCAAATATTCCCTCACTTCCTCTCTTCTTTTCTCTGTCATATTTATTGTGGCTCATTTAAATCTACTCTGGTTGTATTTCCTGTTGGGTGTGTTTGTGTATGTGTGCATACATTCATGTGCAGGTGCGTGCGTGTGTGTACCTTGTAGATATCCAGGCCGATGCCCAGGTGGACTCCTCTGAGTCTCTGGTGCTTCTGCATGAGGGCCACCAGGAAGGAACAGGTCAGCTCAGGGTCACTGGGGTCATCGTCCTCCTCCAACAGGGTCAAGTGGAACTGAGGGTTCTGCCAGAACCAGACTGGACACACATATCCAGTACATAAAGATGATGTACAATACTAAATATTTATGTACAATACTAAATATGTATGTGCAATACTAAATATTTATGTACAATAAGGCACACACATGGATATCAATCTATTATTCTCTGATTATGTATGACTGAATTATTTGTTATGTCAGAGTTGTGGTGTGTGTGTGTGTGTGTCAGTAGGATTGTGCCTTTTCTTACCCCCTCTGCGAGAACCCCCGGCGGAGATGTGTGGTACCCAGCTCCCATGATGCATTGTGCAGTTCCATGGTCTCTGTGTGGCGCCCGGCACGCTCAGGGTCTCCTCACTCAGGTGACACACCTCCATCGACTCAAAGTTCTGACGGAAGTCTGACACCGCCATCCTGAGGGAGAGAGAGGGAGAAGGAGAAAGAGATAGGGGGAGAGACAGACAGACAGTAAAGAGAGAGAGGTTATTAATATATGAGAACATGTGAAGTATGGAGGCACAAAGTGAGAGTCTATGAAGAGAGAGGTCCACTTACCAGAACTCCCCATCCTCCTTCTGAACCCTGTCCAGACGCTTCTGCTCCTCCTCACAAACATGACTCCACTCAGGCCTTTGAACAGACAAACACACTGAGGAACCTGCCCCAAACACACAGACACACACAGTGGTAATGGCGTGATTAATGGGTTAATAGTTAGCTAACCCATTCATGTCACTCCAGGGTCCCTCCCACTCTGTCTTTCCCCAGGGGTTGTGAACACGGACCAGCTCCACAGTCTCAAACTTTGTCTTCACCTGAGGGAGTGGAGGAGTGGGGGAGACAGAGAGTCACCCAAACTGAAAACCTATTTGACTATTAAACACAGGAAACCCAAAACCTCTGTACGTGTGCAGGTTTTAGCTGGTGGCTTTGGATACTATTGGCCTTGGTGTGCGGTCATGAATCTGAGAGTGAATTTGACAGTGCTTAGTATCCAGCAGAGGGGGTAGTCTTACTTTTTCAAGCCCGGTTAAAGAGTACGCATGTCTGAACAGGATTCCAAACTCATTTCTCTGCTCAAGGGGGCCCTGTGGGAAAATCAACCCACGCACACACAAAATATGTCAATGTGTAAGCAATGTAGAACAGATGGTTATACCACCGTATTCTGCTCACTGATACAATGATAGGAGTGGGTTTGAATCAAAATGCACATAGAAAAGGTTACACAAAATAATTATTCCATCAGAAAGATGAGCTTGGCACCTAGGTTTCATCACTACGTCCCCTGTAACTTCCCCAGAAACAGTACACACACACTCACCTGGCAGTTGGCACAGTTGATGAGGGCTCCCTTGGCCAGAAGGGGCTTGAGGAAGGCTGCCAGGTCCTTGGGCAGAGAAGCCACAGTCAGCACCTCCGTCATACCGCCAGTCATGTCCACCATGGCCTCGTGGGGGAAGCCCATGTTCAGGGCCTGATATCCCCCCTTCAGCCTGACAGAGACAGTGAATCCCAACAGGTAAGTTCCGTGGTCAGAGTCCAGAGCAGCATTCCAGTGCAGCGGACACACTGGTACATCCTGGTATCATCGACTTTGGCCTTATGCAACTTCAAAGCAAGAGGATGTAATCACACTGACAAGATAGAATGATGTTGACATGCAGTTCTAGACAAACACAGAATTAAAAGATCAAATCCTTTGCTTCTGCATCCAACCTCATACACAAAGACAGTGTGTGTGTGTATGAGACAGGATAGCAGAAAATAAAACCGCATGCATAGAACACCAAAGATCGCAGAGACAGACACTGACTTGGCGTAGGCCTTCTCCAACAGAGCGCTCCAGAACTCTCTTTTCTCTGAGGAGCACAGGTAGATCAGCTTGCCCTTTTGCGTAGGCAGCAGGTCATCAACCTTCACCTTCTTCCACTCGCCGTACTGCCAGAACTATAGACAGACAGACAGACACATACAGGTTTTAATTTTTATCTCAGAGATGGGCATCAACAAACTCCAACTAAATAGTCATTCGCCCATATCTCCTATATACAGGAGTGCAAATTCAATAACCCTTGACAAATACTGTACAGCCTAATGAGGTGTGTTTAATGTCCTGAGGCTGACCCGGAAGGTAAAGCTGCCGTTGTAACCCTCCTGGAAGCTCTGTCCCATGGGCACCACCCGCTCCAACAGCGGGCGATGCAGGGAGAGGGACGCCACCGCAGACAGGAACCAGCAGTCATCTAATCAGAGAGCAGGGAAGGACAGAGGGACAGGTAAAGGTATATTATATATCACATTCACTTCACTGGGTAAGTAGTTTGATGATGGCCACCTGGCGTTTACTGTACAGTAGGTCAGACATAGAATGAATTAATGACGTCAAAGCCATTCTGTACTCTTGGGTAGAACTTTGACATCATTGGGAGAAAATGTTGGGTAATAAGGAAACAGATCAACCGTATCCCAGCTTATTGTGGTACTGCAATGGCTGGAAACAAGACTACGGGCTCTATTCATTTTTTAAAAGCTGAAGCGTTACATATTCCACAATAGAAATTAAGGTAATTTCCGATTGAGCAGACATATGCAGCATTTACGGTGAATGAAGCTTCCACTAAAGCGGGAACATGGCCTTAAATTTCAATCACGCTGTAAAGCTGAACTTCTGCGATGAGGATTGAATAGGGCCCTAATATGTAAGGAAGCAGGTGGAAAGCCACTGCGTCGGTCAACATACATATGGAATATTCCACTTACTCAGAACTCCCTGACACACGTCCATACGTGTTGCTCCATCCACTATGAACTGTGCTGAAGGGCAGATATCCTGGGGAGAGAAAGCAACACAACATGCCTCAAACTTTTTGCTGAGTTTCCCCTTTACTGGGTAAGATGAAATGGATAACCACATACCAGGGACATACATCTACTCTGTTTACATTATCTAAAGTAGTGGAGACTTTAACCCAGCTGTCCTCACTCACAACTTTTGCCTTCACAGTTTGGTTTATTTATGATTGACTGAACACTACTAGGCCTACCATAAATAAATAAACTGAAAAAAGTGCCTAGATATACCGTGACAGGCATTGTTGACCTAAGACTCCATCTTCAATGGAGAGTAACAAAGCAAATACAACATGTATAAGGTTGGTAAGGAGACCTTTGTGTCTTTATGACAAAAACCAGCCAAACAGACTTGGCTCTGTCCAGTCCAGGGATTGGATGTTCATAATGTATGGAAACATTGTTCTGGGTGTTTTTTAACATTTAGCCATGACAGCTTGCCAATTGGCTAAGCCTTCTGAAGATAAAATCACTATGACCTAGTCCTGCCCTAATGCAGTAGTCTTCAATCCAGGGCCTGTATTCATTAAGTGTTGTGCTATAGCAGGGGTATTCAACTCTTACCCTATGAGGTCTGGAGCCTGCTGGTTCTCTGTTCCATCTGATAATCAATAGTACCCACCTATGATTGAGTAATCAGGAGCTTGATGCACACCCTGTAGATCAAGGCCAGGATGGAAGAACATTGTCCCAATGTCTGAGTTTCTCACCACCACTTCATTGACATTTGGTTTTGGGTTACAAAAGCTAGGCCCTATACCAAACATTGCCCACCCAACAAATATAATATGCATCTGTGGGTGTTTTGTTATGGCTGTTGTCAGTACAAGTCTGTAAATGCATGATTCTTAGCACATCTATAGGACCTGGAAGAGAAGTACAGTATATGACACACCCTCAAAACTTGCATTTGTCATGCATTGAAAATAACTGTCCAGAAAAGACATCTGTCCACCCGTTGTCCATGCAAAAATATATCACACTCAGTGTATTGCAATTATACATAACATGGTATGTTCGATGGTTTTATTCATACACTTTTGTAAGAGATAGGTTTCCACTTAAATTAAGTATTTTCATTAATGCATTGGTATAAATGTTTTATCTTTTTTAATATAACCGTTATAACAATGTCATACTGCGCTACCTTTGGGCGTCTCCATTCCATCGCGGGTTGAAGAAGCATATCTCCCATTGGAAAGTCGTGGTCAACGAATAACCCATCATCCATTGAATTAGCGCCATTATCAGGTTTATGAAGAACTGGAGAAAGCTCGTCAGCGAGTAGTGACGATTGCCATCGTTTGGAGGTAAACGAGCTTCCGAGATCTTCCGTCGTTGCCTCTCCTGTACCTATTTCTGCGACCGGAGTCTGCTTGTCATTACTGTCACTCATACCGTCGCAATTATTTCTGAATGTCCTTACAAAACTGATAGGCTGTTTGTTGTAGAGTTAAAATATTGCGTGCAGCGAAACCCTACTTTTTGAACGCAATTGCTTTATCCACTTTTGAAGTCTTATCCAGGAGTTACCGTACCAACTTTTATAGAGTCTTCCGACTTTGTAGCCTTGAACCGATTTACCTTGTCAAATGTCCATTGGCCACACCCTCAGTACTGCACAGTAGCTCACCTGTGCAGCCTGCGAAAGTTGCTTGCGTGCGCACTTTGCGCTCTCATGATTCATAAGTCATTGCATGATGCCCCCAAGTCATATACACTGAACAAAAATATAAACGCAACATGTAGTGTTGGACCCATGTTTCATGAGCTGAAATAAAAGACCCAGAAATGTTCCATATGCACAAAAAGCTTATTTCTATAAAATGTTGTGCACACAGATTACATCCCTGTTAGTGAGCATTTCTCCTTTGCCAAGATAATCGATCCACCTGACAGGTGTGGCATATCAAGAAGCTGATTAAACAGCATGATCATTACATAGGTGCACCTTCTGCTGGGGACAATAAAAGGACAGCAGAATGTGCAGTTGCCACAACACAATGCCACAGATGTCTCAAGTTGAGGGAGCGGCATTTGGCAGAGTGCCCTATGGTGGCGGTGGGGTTATGATATGGGCAGACCTAAGCTACAGTCAGTGAACACAATAGCATTTTATCGATGGCAATTTGAATGCACAGAGATACCGTGACGACATCCTGAGGCACATTGTCGCGCCATTCGTCCACCGCCATCACCTTATGTTTCAGCATGATAATGCACTGCCCCATGTCGCAAGGATCTGTATACAATTCCTGGAAACTGAATATGTCCCAGTTCTTCCATGGCCTGTATACTCACCAGACAGCGTGTTCCAGTTCCCGCCAATATCAGGCAATTTCGCACAGCCTTTGAAGAGTGGGCCAACATTCCACAATCAACAGCCTGATCAACTCTATGAGAAGGAGATGTTGCGCTGCATGAGGCAAATGGTGGTCACACCAGATACTGACTGGTTCTGATCCATGCCTCTACCTTTTTTATGTCTGTGACGAACAGATGCACATCTGTATTCCCATTTGTGAAATCCATAGATTAAGGCCTAATTGACTGATTTCCTTATTTGAACTGTAACTCAGTAAAATCTTTGAAATTGTTGCATGTTGCGTTTATATTTGTTCAGTGTAGCTTATTTCGTAATTAGTCTAAGGAATGTTTTGTGTGTAGTTATGACAAATGATGATTAGGCATCAATTGCAAAAATGTAGATTTCTTGTCCCCAGGCTCAGAACAGGCTTGAACAGGATACAGACAGCGTTCATTTACTGACATGTAAAGCATACCTGCCAACTTTTCAAAAAACCTTGGAGGGAGATTTTGTCCTGGGTCCGCCTGGGTCCTGCAGTCGGTGAAAAGCAATTGCACTGCCTGCGTCTCAGAACTGCGGCCGCCTTGATCTCATGAGGTTATCATTGCCTACGTGTGCATGACGTCAGAGAAAGTCGGGATCAAGTCGGACACAAATCTAACCAGCATGCATTGGGCGGTGATCGATTCTGCGCAGACCTGGCTCATCTCAAATGAGCCTCTTGTCTATGATCTGTCGGCATGGTTATACTGGCTTGTGGCCTTCTTGGAGGCCTTGATGATATCGGAGGGGGGTTCCCATTTGAAGCAGGGCTCCAGATTGGCCATCTTTATGGTCATTATTGAGGACAGGCTGCCATGCAATGCTAGGCTGTTTCTTCTCTTGGTTTTGTTCAGTCCCACAACTGAAAACACCCTATCAGCATCTGCGTTTGCATGGGGAAACACCAGGACAAGCTTGGCGACGGCAGCAAGCCTCTCGAATTCTTTGGCTCCTGTCACCTATGGAAAATGCACCAAAACACAATGGAAAAACATACCTTGATTTTTGATTGATTAATACTGTAAGTATACTGTAGGTTGATCCATTAACAAAGTTCAGATAAAAACATGCATAATTTGCAACATGCATGACACATATATGCATGCAACAATTTTAAGCAACAGATGTAGCCAAGCCACACCTGCCAAAAGGAAAGTCAAAAAATGAAAAAATGTTTACCTTATTCTTCCGGGTTGCCATTTCAGCCCAGAAGCTTTCCATTTCAGTTTCGTCCTGCAGGGATATCATTGGCATGGTCTGATAATTTAGAAACTCCTCACCCAGAAGGTCATGCTCCTCTGGCACATGGTATGGGAGGAGATGGGGAAATCTATTTATGAAAGTAGAGTTACAAGTTGTTACGTTTTAGGTATAGTCATCAACCAGCAGCAGTTCATACACATCTTTGAGGAGAAGCAACTTAAGAATCTCATGTGCAGTTTAGGAGTGAACACACCTCATCATAAAACACAAGGTATTTTAGCTAAGATGATAGACAATAATTAGAGAAAAAAAACTAACCTTTCAACAAAGTACAGGACATCTTCGATGTCACTTTCAGCCCTCTGCCGTACATCTACAAATTGTGCGTGCTTGATCTGTGGCTCTTCCAGTGGCAGCTTCTTAAGTGCATAGTCCACAGCACTTGTCAGGAAACACAACACAGCTTCATGGAATGAATCCACCTGCTCTGGTGTGATGTCACCCTCGTCGAGTAATCTGTTAAATTTAGCCCTGGTTGTGAACCCAATGTTCAACTTTCTTCCTGTCACAGATACAGCATATCGGTATAAGGTACAAGGCTAAATATCACATATCACAGTGTTTGATCATAATAATAGTCAAATACTAACCTGGTAAATGGTTTGCCTTTTCTTTAAAGGCAATTTCACAAGGCTCCTCATGGCACTGCAGTGCTGCTGGAACCATAAACTTGGAACATAGCTTGCGTACGAATTTCACCATCTATAACAGACAATTACAAAAATAGTAGGTGAAACCTGTTTTAGAGGATCCCTGCAGATATCAGCAAGAAACACAGAATGGAAAAAAACAGCAAAATCCAATCCCACCTCATCATGTAACAAAAATATTGATGACTGCTCTCTCTGAAGCAGCAAGTTGAAAGAAGTGAAAGTTGGTACGGTGGCTTGGAAGAACAGCAGGTACACTTCTGTCATGGGGTCAGTGAATGTCTGCACAAGTCTACTTCTATTGCACACATTTCCTGTATTTATGTTAAATTCTTTGGAATACATCTTACCTGTTCGAAATCAGCTGAGTTTACATTCACCACACTAAATCATGTTCAAACGCACAAACAAATAATTTCTTTCAAGATTTAAAGTTTAAGAGAGTGAGTACTCAATTGGACGACATTTCATTGTTACATACCTAGTCTCAGCTCAGCTTCTTATCAGACTTCTTGAGGTAGTGACCGTTTCTTCTCCTGTTGTCTTTTTCTGTCGCTAACTTCGGGGTGCAGCGCATATGGTTCAGTGGCGCTCATCAGCGCCATCTACCATCGGGGAGTTTGAAAAAAGGAACGAACGAGTCTCGGCCGATTTTTTTTGCATGAGAAATTGGATGTGTGGCGTGAGTGCGTGTGAAAACAGGCAAAAACGTGTCTCAGACGGCGAAAGCGTGAGAGTTGGCAGCTCTGGTAAAGTCAAAGATAAAATAGCACTCTCCTTACATGCTGACCAGAACGCGCCATCGCGCACATGTATATTTTTTTCCTCCCACACCAGACACGATCAGGGACACGCAGGTTGAAATATCAAAACATTTACATTTAAGTCATTTAGCAGACGCTCTTATCCAGAGCGACTTACAAATTGGTGCATTCAACTTAGGATAGCCAGTGGGACAACCACATCTTGATCACAGTAAGTACACTTCTTCAAACAAGCAGCTGTGAGCAAAGTCAGTGCAATCAGGGAAACTACATCTCGATCACAATAAGTACATTTCTTTAAACAAGTCAGTGCTAGCAGGTGAAATAAGTCAGGTGTTAGTTTAGACAAGACAGTGGAAGTAAAGGGGGGGGGGGGGGGGGGGGGGGGTAGAAGGATTACTATTATACTATTCCAGGTATTCCTTAATGAGGTAGGGTTTCAAGTGTCTCCGGAAGGTGGTCAGTGACTCCGCTGTTCTGGTGTCGTGGGGGAGCTTGTTCCACCATTGGGGTGCCAGAGCAGCGAATAGCTTTGACTGGGATGAGTGGGAACTGTGCTTCCGTAGAGGTAGGGGGGCTAGCAGGCCAGAGGTGGATGAACGTAGTGCCCTCGTTTGGGTGTAGGATCATAGCCTGAAGGTAAGGAGGTGCCGTTCCCCTCACAGCTCCGTAGGCAAGCACCATGGTTTTGTAGTAGATGCGAGCTTCAACTGGAAGCTAGTGGAGTATGCGGAGGAGCGGGGTGACGTGAGAGAACTTGGGAAGGTTGAACACCAGACGGGCTGCAGCGTTCTGGATAAGTTGCAGGGGTTTAATGGCACAGGCAGGGAGCCCAGCCAACAGCGAGTTGCAGTATTCCAGACGGGAGATGACAAGTGCCTGGATTAGGACCTGTGCCGCTTTCTGTGTAAGGTAGGGTCGTACTCTGCAAATGTTGTAGAGCATGAACCTGCAGGATCGGGTCACCGCTTTGATGTTAGCAGAGAACGACAGGGTGTTGTCCAGGGTCACACCAAGGTTCTTTGCATTCTGGGAGGAGGACACAATGGAGTTGTCAACCGTGATGGCGAGATCATGGAGCGGGCAGTCCTTCCCCAGGAGGAAGAGCAGCTCCGTCTTCCCGAGGTTCAGCTTGAGGTGGTGATCCGACATGATATGTCTTCCAGACATGCAGAGATGCGATTCGCCACCTGGTTATCAGAAGATCAGAAAATTAATTGTGTGTCGTCTGCGTAGCAATGATTGGAGAGACCATGTGAGGATATGACAGAGCCAAGTGACTTGTGTATAGAGAGAATAAGAGAGGGCCTAGAACTGAGCCCTGGGGGACACCAGTGGTCAGAGCACGTGGTGCGGAGACAGATTCTCGCCACGCCACCTGGTAGGAGCGACCTGTCAGGTAGGACGCAATCCAAGAGTGAGCAGCGTCTGGAGAAGAGAGGACGGGATAGGGTCAAGCGGGCAGGTTGTTGGGCGGCCGGCCGTCACCAGTCGCAAGATTTCATCTGGAGAGAGAGGGCAGAAAGAAGTCAAAGCATAGGGTAGGGCAGTGTGAGCAGGACCAGCGGTGTCATTTGACTTAATAAATGAGGATCGGATGTCGTCA